TATAAAATTATGTTTAAATATTATAAATAATATGTTAATGGGCCTTTCCATTGTAGAAGTGTTTCACTGTTCATGTTTTGGTAAAACTTTAAGGGTTCAGGACCATAAACCAGGAACAGCTGGAAAGACTTACACTCTTAAATCACCAGACACTCAATTAAACCACAGTTCTCAATGGACAGTATTCATGCTGGCATCTTACCTTCCCAGGCTTCAGGTCTCAACAACCTTCTAATGCAGGGAAAATCTCATGCCCCAACTTGGAATAAGACAAAGAGAAGCCAGCATCAGTTCACTTCCTGACAAAAGAAGTTAAGTATTAGAGCTGGGCAAAAGTCACAGTTGTTACTCTGCATGGTATTCCTATGTAGAAAATGAACTCTTACTGATGACATAATGGAGTATTTGCCAGCTGCCTTCCAAAGAAAATAATGGATGATAAAGACAGTAATCAAAAGGATAACCAAAATTTGGAAGCAAATGCATAATTTGGTATAACTTCATTGTATAAGAAGGAAATGAAAAATCTTTAGAGTATACGTTGCCTTTCATTAGCCTTCAGCTTCTTTGAACAGCAATGAGCTAACCTGAGTTAGTTCTGAAAGGTAGTTTCTACTCTTGGATATGTGACACAAATCAGTAAGACAAACTCAGGTAAAGAAAAGTAGACCTCAGAGAGAAGGTAAGTATGTTCCCATAGTTTCATCACCATATCCTGCCATGTGTGCTTATTGTAAGCACAGTGATCTGGCAAAATGTGAGGGTTAAATAAAATTTATACTCTTTTTAAGTTTCATTCTAAGCATGGTGAGGTCAAGAAAGATGTATCAGTTGTTACTGCCAAGAACACTAATGAAGAATCTTTATCAGAAGTAAGGTTACTAAAATAAAAAGTGTTAACAAAATGCATAGCTGAACAGAAGAGTTGTTTCATGCATTTTAAACTGTTCTTTTATTATAAGCTTCAAGGCTGCTATTTCCATGCTTTAAGGTGTTTCTGAAGATCAATCTAATTCTTGATGTTTAAAAGCACGTGGTATGGTGCCAAAAGTCAAAGTAAAGAGGACTTTGTTCTAATTAATATCGCAGAGACATTCTGAACTTTGTTCTTTGAACTACAACCTTCTACTAAATTTACAGATGAAAAGGCAAAGTCTTATCTAATAAGGGTGCCAAGAGCCAGTCTATCTTAACCATTTGATCTTAAGAAAGCCTTAAAAATTTCTGGGATTAATAAAACAATTCATAAAATCCTGGCAACTCCTTTTGAAAACTGAGTTTAGTAAAACACATAGCAAGCTCCAGCAAAATTGCTGAGAGACCAAAATACAATTGAGACAACACGTCCAATGTAGAAGCACAATAAATGTTGGTTTTCAAATTATAAGTGAAACTCAACCTTAATCATTTTACTTTCATATAACTAGCGTTTCATATATTATATGTTTGTACTCTTAAACTGCTTCTCTTAAATTGATTTCAGTCTTTGTTTTATCACCTGACAAATTATAATTCCACCTGTTGAAGGTTGGGGCTGCTACTATTGTAGACAGGGGACAGAGCTGGGTCTCAGCCTAGGCAGCAGGGACGGTCCCAGGTCTGAGCCTGTGACTGTATGGGCAGGTATTGGTTGGGAATGACCCTCAGGGAGGGCCCTGGTGAAACCAGACCTTACCAAGTCACTCTGGATAATTATTCCAATGGTAATTCTTTACCAAGTTAAACCTCCTCCCATCACAGAGTTTCACCTCCACACTGTGCAATGTTTGGCTCTGAAGTGATCCTCTGGATGGGTCACAAGATGCATGGAGGAAAGTGAGATAGCAAGAAAAGGCCTCATCTAGCTAGGGATGCAGGGATAGGTGAAGACAAACTGCCTGCCCCCATGCTTGCTCTGAGAATCTCGTAAGTTCCAGCTGAAATGTTAAAAGATTAGGGCCTGGCTGACCTTGTGTCTAAGTTGGCCAAGAAGTCAAGGATTGCTTCCTGGATTGTTCTCTAAAGAAAGACTGAAGCAGACAACAGAAAAAGATGACCAGGTGTCCTGTCAAATGCACCTTTCTGGGTTATCTGATTCTATAAGTACCTGCGATTTTCACTGTCTTCGAGCTATTTTACAACTCTGTAAATTGTAGAAAACTTATGCTAATGCAAATGAATTTTGTCCAGTATAATACAACAGATTGCCCTGTGGATACCGACTAGTTTCATATCTATTTGTAAATTCATTTCAACATGTCTGATTACCTGTACATATGCTGTCTCTTATACACATCTAGATGTGTATAAGAGACAGTGGTAATTCTTTACCAAGTTAAACCTCCTCCCATCACAGAGTTTCACCTCCACACTGTGCAATGTTTGGCTCTGAAGTGATCCTCTGGATGGGTCACAAGATGCATGGAGGAAAGTGAGACAGCAAGAAAAGGCCTCATCTAGCTAGGGATGCAGGGATAGGTGAAGACAAACTGCCTGCCCCCATGCTTGCTCTGAGAATCTCGTAAGTTCCAGCTGAAATGTTAAAAGATTAGGGCCTGGCTGACCTTGTGTCTAAGTTGGCCAAGAAGTCAAGGATTGCTTCCTGGATTGTTCTCTAAAGAAAGACTGAAGCAGACAACAGAAAAAGATGACCAGGTGTCCTGTCAAATGCACCTTTCTGGGTTATCTGATTCTATAAGTACCTGCGATTTTCACTGTCTTCGAGCTATTTTACAACTCTGTAAATTGTAGAAAACTTATGCTAATGCAAATGAATTTTGTCCAGTATAATACAACAGATTGCCCTGTGGATACCGACTAGTTTCATATCTATTTGTAAATTCATTTCAACATGTCTGATTACCTGTACATATGTGTGTGGTTTGAATTCTCCGTTAAGCCAGTTTTTACATCTATTGGTTCCCTCATTAATCAGTTCCTTATTAACTGTAAAAACAATAAGGGTTTTAGTTTTTATAGCTTGACCATCTCATGATCTTTGTAGAAGGTGATATAGATCTATCCCTATTGGGTGAGAGATGACAGAGAATCTGGTTATACTTTTTAAAAAATTGTCTATTTTCTTTTAGCTCAAATCAATTAAATATGTTATGCCCACTGGGAAGGAGAACACCTCTTTGATTTTGGGCCAGAGAGATTTTGTGTTTCTGTGTTTACTCTTGACTTGTGCCAAACTTGTACACATGAAGCTGTAAGCTCTGTCTCTATGGGTCCAAAATTCAGAAAGGCCTATCCCTCTCATTATGTGAGGTATAATATCCTATCTACAGAGGATATTATTAATTACAGTATAATGTCTCATAAATTCAAGGAGCTCTGTTCTTATTGACTTATAGAGATAAATAAGTTCTTATGTAATTTGAATATTCTTAAAATTCCCAGAAAAAGGAAATTGGACTTCTAATGCTTTAAATGTGCTAAACTCAAATTCTTCTCACCAAAACTAAGAAATATTTTTTAAAAATCTAAGTTCATAATAACAGTAAAATTATGAACAGTGCCACAATAAACATATGTGTGCATGTGTCTTTATAGCAGCATGATTTATAATCCTTTGAGTATATACCCAATAATGGGATTGCTGGGTCAAATGGTATTTCTAGTTCTAGATTCTTGAGGAATCCCCACACTGTCTTCCACAATGGTTGAACTAATTTACACTCCCAC